CGAACACAACACTTAGTCATTATCCGAGCCACGTTATGCTCCATTATTGTAAAACAAAGATAAATATCACAATTATCAAACTAGTTGAAAATGCTTATGATTGCAAATTAAAAACATTGATAGACTGAAAGATTGAAAATTGACGGAATAATCTTAACTGTAAAATACTGTATGGTCAGAGTCCTCTTATGGACATATGTACAAAACAAACGCATGCAAACAATCAGCTGATCCTCTGGATTTTTGGACGACGCCTCTCTGTGGTTGCATTTAACAAAATCGTTTTGGCGGGAAACCAAAACTGTCCAATCTATACTCTGTAATCTGTGGACTGCTGGATTTGAAAATGTCCACCGCAGTTGTGGACGAAACGTCAGGAAGAAATTCCGATAGACCACGGCTTCAAAGCCCGGAAAACATTCCTAAATGTAATTTAACCGGCCGTGAAGGCCTTCATAGTCTGATAATTAGATAAATATTTACAAAATCCAATTTTGTAGTCTCTCTAAGTAGCTTAATTATAAATAAAGCTTTATTTATACCCAGGTATAACCTTGCATCTAAAACGTCATTTATAATGTTCAAGTCTATTACGTTTCAAAACTACGGCTCGTACAGGAGCGTCACTACTTCGTTTTCTGCCTTTTTGGCAAGCAAGTTTATGTGGAACAACATCTTTTGTCATTCTTTTCTGAACTCCCATCATTTTTCACGCCATAAAATTTTCCATGTCTTTTTCAAGCTGTGAAATAAAATAAGCAAAAATTGCACATAATGAAGGAACGGTGAAATCTAACTCTGACGAACACATAGGGTAAAGTACCCAATAAATATGATTTAATCCACCAAATAAAAAGTTCTGGTAGTTTTTGTACCACGACCCTCAAGAATTCTGCACTTGTCCAAAACGGCTGAACTCGGCTGTTCTATCAAAATATGAGTCTTACATAAGAACAAATTCACAGCGAATTTCACTAAAATACATCGTACCATTCTCCCGATATTTCAAAAAAGGTAATTTGTTTGTGAACTTTGACCGTCATTAGCAGAGGAGCCAGACATTTTTTGTTAATAAAAGTTAGGTCAGGTCATCTTCTTTTGATGCAAAAAAAATCGCAGTATCCTTTTGATCATGTGCTTACGGGACACCCTGTATAGGTAGCTGATACTTTGGTTTTTGAGTTATTATATCGTGGTTAATTACAGCAACTAACTATAGTTTTTAATCATATTCAAAAATAATTGTTGCTCTTCAAAATGTTTATTGTTCTCTAAATTTAATAACTCTCGCAAAGTATTAATTTCATCATATTGGAATTTTGAATTACAAATTTTATCTCCAAAGTTGTTACTAACAGGTTCTGGCTCTAAAATTTCTCTTGTCAAGCTTACGCCAGGAATAACATTTTTGATTCTCTGGACCGTGGATGCATTCTGCCAAAAATCTAAACTTAATATCGAAAGGTCAATAGCTACCCACAGATAGTTCCCGAGAATTAATAAATATGTATGTACCAAGTGCTTTAAAAGCATAGCCTTGTAAAAAAATTAATTTTAAAACCAATAATTCATTTTCAACTTTAGAGTGTTCCACGTACAATGCAAAGTTCGATATCAAGTATTAACAACAATGACCAAAAAAGTACTCACAATAAACTGTTTAACCGACATTACTTTTATATGTTTTTTATCTATCTTTATTATCAGATTTCCAGCTGAAAGAAATACAACCCTTAGCGAGTTGCCTAAGGTTATTTGCCATTATATCATTTGAAGTTGAAATTGGCCTAACTCCAGGCCGATATTAAAACTTTGTAAAACAAATAAAATCCATCAAAACTTTAAGCGAATTATATAATATGTATAACTATTGAAACATTGATAAAATACTGATTACAATTTTTCAAACAGTTTTTTTTGTTTTAATTTAAAAAGCCACTAAAATTGCAACCACGTTTTGTTCGCATGCAACGGTTACGGTTTCATTACAAATGTAGGACTTGGGCAAAATGCGTATTTATTTTTAGGTATTTAGGTACTGCGGACTTTAGAAAAATTCGTTTAATCGAATTATAGCGCATAAACGTCAGGATAGGGGTTTAGGCCGCTGCCAGATCATGGGTTTGTGCGTTTGTCACCAGATGGTACGAATAGTTTTGTTTTGGTCAAAAATGGACTACGGCAATTTGCATCTTAGAACGACGATATGCGTCTTCATGGTTTTCTTGTTCGTATACGGCGTGTCAATTTGTAAACTTCCCACCCTTAATATCTTTCTTGCAGTTTTACTTTTAATTCTTTTTTGTTGCTGAATTTTGAACTCAAAATATGAAAAATCGGAGACACGTCAATGTTATTTGTAAGGCGGACATTTTAAATTACTATTTTTAGCTTCTTACAACCCTCTAGGATAGGTAAATGTCACCCCTAGAATCCTAAATGGGAATGGGGGGGTCAAGTGGCACATTGTTTAAAAGGGCGTTCAATTATCTTTTAGGTATTATCCTACTTTGTTGCTTTTTGTCCAGAAATTTACGAATAATAGCGTTACAAAGTTGCAGAAACAATTAAACTTGCCTGCATTAAGATTTTGCTTTTCAGGATAGTGTTTACACAAAAATTATTGCATTGAGCCTCATTGTAGTACAAATTATTGGAATAGTAGGTTAGATCGTTTAAATCGTTGAATAACAGAAATAAAATTTATCTTAAACAATTGATTTCTTATTTATTCGTTATTTACTTCGACTTCGACAAAAATAAGTCTTTCTTTGCGGAAGGGAAATTTCTCAATAAAACACACGAGATTGGCTTACGCATTATCTTATAAGTTGTTGAAAATGTTGTCCATTTTCCTGTAAACAATAATAAAATCAATTTTCGAGCTCCTTCCTAATATTTTGGAAAACCGGGAATTGTCCGGCATTGTGTTTTATAAGCAATAAATTTGAGATGTCCCCAAAGAAAGAAGTCTCAATCAATATTGGTTATTAACTCAAAAACAATTGAAAATCATTCTAGAACATTTATATCGAATAGGCCTAGAATTGTGCGAATAGTTCGAATATACAATAAAAAGTACGGTCACCCCAATATCGACAATTTTGTTTACTAACATTTGCATTAAAAAAATAACATTTATCGCTGAAACAGATATGCGGCAGACTATTAGGGATGGCGTTGTTTTGTAAAATATTCTTGTTTTGGCTACATCTTTTAAATTTGCTGACCAAGTTTTATTTGTTAAACGTATTTTTAGATTTTCTTCTAAGGGTGACATCTACCCCTCCTATGGGGTGGAGATAAGAAGGCTAAAACAAACATTAATTTAAGGTGTACCCGTTACAAATACAAATGATGTGTTCTGCAGATTTTTTTGCATTACTCTGGAGGTGTTGTCTGGCGCTGTTATAGGAGTACAGAAAAACTAGTAAAAGAAATTAATTGCTATTAAAAACTGAGAAATTTGCAAAAAACTATATCAGAAATATGGCAGCAATGTTTTTCAAGGTATTTTGCCTAATTAACATTGCGCAAATACCTGTTGCTTCGTAATTATTTAAAATTCCGGTAACCATGGATAAATAGAGAGTGACAATAAGATAGACAAG